GGCTCCAACCTTCTGTATGCTTTCATTTATTTTTTCTGGGGTTTTTGGCAGCATGTTCATATTTCTAACTTGCATAATTTTGACAGGATATATTTTTATGAAGAGCAAAATATTTAAAGTTAAAGTTTATTTTTTTTAAGTTTCTTTAATCTGGAATAATATTCCTGTCTGTTTTTATTCATATTTATGTTTTTAAAAAAAACATTGTTTTAGTGTGTTCAATAAATGTTTATCTTGTTTGGCCCGCGACCTAAAGTGTGCCTTGAGTTTTGGCTCCCTGTGCAATTGAGTTTGACACCCCTGATCTAAATGATTCACAGGTTTGGTGAGAAAGTGCTATAGTCAGCCAAAACCAAAAATCAAGTTCTTTGTCATCAACTCAACCTGGCGTGGTTAGAGTAAGACAAATGCCAAGTATGATCCAAAAAACACCTTGCCCACAGCCAAGCACAGAGGTAGAAACATTACGCTTTGGGGCTGTTTTTCTGCTAAGGGTAAAGAACATCACTACATTGAAGAGTCAAGTACCAGAAGATTTTCTGGTATGTGAAGATTTTCAGATAAGAGACCCTTTCCGTCAGCCAGAACACTCCGGAGAGGTCGTGGATGGGTCTTCCAGCATGACAATGGCCCAAAGCATACCACCAAGGCATCAGGAGTGGTTAAAGAAGCAGCAGATTAAGATAATGCAGTGACCTAGCCAGTCTGAAGTGTGAAGGGAGCTGAAGCTTTGAGTTGCCAAGCAGCAGCCAAGAAAATTAAAGAACTTCTTTATAAATGAGCAAACATACAAATTCAGCAGCGGGGTCAAAAAAAAAAGTATTTACCCATACTGCAGTACAAATGGACAGAACTTCTCAAGCCACTTGAACTGAACTGAAATTCATATAGTGGGACAAAGTCAGAAGAAGTAGAACACTTTAAATTTAATGATTAAACCCATGGAAAGCTTCTTTTTCTTATTATTTAGCAGCAATCTGTTTCCCAGAAGTAAAATTACATGTGCCTTGTATTTCTCAAAACACCTTCCGATATTAGTTTGATGATTAACTTGCCTCAACTATATTTATGTAATGCTGTTATTCAAGACAACTACTCAAACAGGACCTGATAACACACAAAAAGAAAGTGAACCTGCATACTCTACTACTATAAAATGTAGAAAAAGAACAACAAAACTATGCTCTCTCTCTCTCTCTCTCTCTCTCTCTCTCTCACTTGAGAGCTTTCATTAAATACAATTTCTTTCCCTGTGACATAATATAATGCAGGGAGGATCAAGTCGGGACACTGATCAAAGATGGTTTCTCTCGTGAAGTTCACAATAGCAGCTTGCTTGTTTAACAAAGACTCCATTTGGTTTATTCAAGGTTACTGACTGTATAGAGCAGCAAAGAATGTAAAGCCTGACAAAACTGCTATATTCTCACATGGATGAAGCAAGACATGTGGTATTTGTACTAAAGAGCAAGCAGCGTAGAGAAAATTTGCAATTCAGCTTAGAAAAACAACCACATTTTCATATACAGCTTCTGCAGTTAATGTTAAGAAAGATTCACAGCCACATGTCTGTGAAAACAACCTGTTATACTACTCTAGGTCCTCCAAAACACTGAGGGCATCTCTTTAGCTTATCATGCATATTTTCACCATTGCTCCATATCATTAACAAGTCCTCTCAGTCTTGCAGTTTCTACTTTTTACCTGTACCCAAAGAAAGCCATGTACGTCTGCAGTTATTGTCCTCACCAATTTGGCCAAACACATATCCATGAACTCTGAGTCTGCTTCTATTGGAGGTCTCTTCCTGTTACAAAGGATCTTTCCTCACCACTGTCTTGAAATGTTTGCTTTGGGGCTAATTTGAGGGTTCATCTCTATGTTAAAAAGATCTAGAAATTCAATTTGTAAAAAAAAAAAATCAAAAACCTTAACTTAAATTTAGCTAATTTAAATTTTGCAATGACCTGACTTATTTGGGTTTGGAAACTGCTGGCTCTTCCAATGAAAACTCAAATTCAATCTTTGAGAGACTCAAACCAAGTTTCTTCAGCAGCGATTATACTCATTGTGAATGTTGCTTGAGTGTTTAAGGTTCATGGTGAAACTTTTAATATCCACACTGAAGTGCTCAGAAAAGGAGTTCCAGGAACCAATCTCAAAATAGCATTGCAGGAAGAACCAGCGCAGAGATTGGACATGAGAAGAACGGCGCCTTGGCTACAAAATAAGGTTGGTGAATTAGAGGCTTATTAAAATGCCTTCTCCTACATGTTCTGGCTGTCATCTTTGACACATTGTGCCATGGATTCACAGACGTCTTACACATCTATTTTCTAGTGCAATTACAAAACAAATTTGGTTATTCAGACCATGAGGGTACTATTGAGAAACACCAACAACATTATCATGCTGTAAACATGAATTGATGCATGTTGCTCAGATTAATGTCAGGCTTAAACAGCAGCAGAGTTGTCGTCTTTCTCACAAACTGTGTAAACAGGCATGCATGACAATGAGTAACTATGGTTACAGTGTGACGCTGTGAAGCTCATGATTGCCAAGAAAAGATCTTAAATTATTATGCATACGCAAAATCAAGAATGAACCTCAGTGCTTACGTTTAAGTAATATGGATATATACTCTGTGGGTGGCTGTAGCTCAGGAGGTAATCACAGGGTTGGTAGTTCAATCCCTAGCTGTTCCAGTCTGCATGATAATATCATTAGGCAAGATACTAACCCCAGCTTGCTCTCAGATATATCCATCGGAGTGTGAACGCTAGATAGGAAGCACTTAACCATAGAAAAGGTGCTTTTATGAATAGGTGTATGAGACAAGATGTATAAAGCGCTTTGAGTCCTCAGAATAGAATAGTGCTATACAAAAAACTGTCAATTTACTATGTAGCGTAGATTACTTTTTCAAACATAATATTATTGACACAAAACTATATACTGTGTGAATAATCATATTTTAGAAGGAAAAAATTAACCATCTGTGTGCATTTTATGTAACTTATCCTATAAACATTTGTTGGGCTATTCAGAGCTATGCATGTCTATTTATTCAAAGTGTGTCGTAATAAGAAGAATATTTGAGTCTGATTAGTGCATACTGATTCTTTTTATATCCAGGACAGGAGGAGAACTGATTGCGTACTTAAAAAAGAAAGGCAGGCTAACACACCTGATCACAACTGTTATAGAGTATGATATTTTACTATAATGTCTAATTAACAACTTTAAAAAGTTGCTGCTATCAAGTGAAAATCCAAAATATTTCTGGGTCCTTTTAATCACCCAAAGTTTCAAGATCCTAGCAATGCCTCTGGTAACATTCGACACCTCATTCTTCAAATCTTCTTCTTTCAGTTGCTTCCTTTAAGGCTCACCACAGTGGATCATCTGCCTTGAGCTCACACCATCCCTAGAATACCTGCATGTACTCCTTTACTACATCCATGAACTACATCTGTGGCTTCTATTTTTCTCCTTCCTCACAGATTCATATTCAACGCCTTTCCTCCAATATATCCACTATCCCTCATCTGCATATTTCCAAACCATTTCTAACCGTCTCCAAACTGCTCAATCTGAATTGTCCCTTTGATGTACTTTTTATTTTCTTAAATCTTGGCATTTTCTGATCACTCCCAGTGATCAGTGATCATCTCTACCTACTCTACCCTGTCTGCACTCTCTTTTTCACATCTCTTGTCTGTTGCTTTGGATGGTTAACATCAGGTATTTAAATGCATGTATCTTCACTTGCAGCTTTAGTTACACCTGTTTCCCTCTCGTTCACATACGTTTTCTGTTTTGGTTCTACTGACTTTTATTCCTCATCTCTCCAGACTTACTTCCATCTGCTCCCAGCTCTCAATACAGATCACTATGTCATCTGCAAACATCTTAGTCCATGGAGACTCCTGCCTGATCTCACCTGTCAACCTGTCCATCAACACTGAGAAGAAGAAGGTGCTCAGAGCAGATCTCCAATGTAATCCCATCCCCACCTTAAACCCTTTCTCTTACCACACACCTCACTACTGTCTCTGTGTCCTTATACATTATCCTGCACCAGCCTCACCTGACTTCCTCATGCAGCACCACAGATCCTCTCATGGCACCCTATCACACGCTTTCTCGAAATCCACAAAGACCGTGCCACTACTGAAGATAACTATATTAATCCGCACTTGGTCAAAAAACACGCACGATCAAACCTACTGACGGTTTGAGCAACCAAAGAAGCTCGTCTTACTGACCCAGTCTGATCTTCTGTGGTCACCGTTTTTGTTTTCTCGAGGAAAAAAGCAGACGGGTCAAATACACGTGAGTTTACAGGTGATGTGAACAGCGTTGGCAGGTCTTTAGACTGACATGCTTCTCTGCCAGCTCCAGTTTGACAACAACACCACCGAAATAGAACTTCGTCTCATGACGTCATGCAGGAGATAATGTTCTGACTAAAGCAAACGCGACTCCAGAACGATTTCACTTTGTCAAAAAAAAAATTCCAACACATTCCATTCCAGTTTAGTCTGAACGCTAACGCACCAGTTATTCAACAGAGCACGACTGCAGTCACGCAGCTTACGGCTCGAAACCAGTCAAAGGCCCACGGCGCGGCATTTTCATGGCTACTTAATACTGCATGATTGCAAGCGTTGGGTACCTTTCATAACTTAACGAGCTGGCTCTGTTCAAACTCAAACACTTTCTTTTATCCAGTACCATGCGGAAATCCGTAAACGCTTCGTAAACGCTTAGTAGAAACCTAGCTCCGTGTTAAGATTTGAGTGTTTTATCACAAAGGAAACAACGGTTGTAAATAAAATAGGCCCACTCAACGCAATCAGCTAGCACACATTAGCGTCAGCCTCAAACTGTTGTCAACTTCAGAATCCACCGGTGGGGAAAAGGGTAAAAATAACACCTACCTGATCTAAATTATCGTCACTAGCGCTGTCTTCGGAGTCAGAGTCAATAACGACTCGACCTTTCCGCTTCTTTACATTCACCATGATTAGCTGCAGAGCTAACCCACTAGCTACCACTGTGTCGTCTAATGTAATGTTCTCTACGATAGCTGTCGCTGCTACCTGGCTAACTCCGGAGTCGATCACACAAAGGCGGCACTGCGCATGCGCGCCTGTATTAACAGCTTGATTGACGAAAACATGTTTAAGTTAGATATAACAAAAATTTTTGTTCTTGGTCCCTGTGTATTAAATAAGAAGATTCAACTAAAGAACATACTGCAGAAACGGAACCGCTGGATATAAGAGGATATACAGGTAGCAGAGAGAGGAACCATATATGAGTACAGGAGTCAGGACAGTAATCTTTGATGCACTGAAGCTGTGTTCAGTGATTACCTTGTGGCTCATTCAGTGACATTTCTGGTCGAAGGTTTGCTGAAGGAATTTCAGTCGTGTTG